TCGGAATTACTTAGTCTTATGACAAAATTTCTTTTAAGATATTGAAATTTGACGGTTTTGAAATCTCTTCATAAAATCGTTTATCCGAAAACAAATGGAAATTTTATTACAAATATTTCACTTTTGTAAAATAAATAAAAACAAAATAGCTGTTATCAGAATGTTCATCCACATATGTAGGCTAAGTAATTACATTTACACATAAAATCATTTTTCATAACATTGCTCGAAAAAGGAGTGAGTAACGCATTTTTAGTCAACAAATGTTAGAGAATTCTAACAACAGACTGTCAAAAATTAATAATTTGATGTTAAGTGAGGAGAAAGTTAAAGGTCGATCGAATTAACAGAGTGGTCTTGCAAGTCCACAACCATAAATGGGCATGACAGCTGCAACCAAGTGGCATCTTTAACTCACCTCTGAACCAACACCTGCGAAATCAATAATATATCGTATGTAGAAAAGATGCGAGTAGCAAATAATGTTTTCGAAATATAGAATTACACACATTTTTACCTTTTTTAAGTGTTAGACTTGATGTCTTCGGAACAATGCATAAGCCAGGATCCACGAACAGCGAATGATCATCATGAGGTATTATCTTAGATCGCATTTCTAAGGTCTCTCTCTCGGTTTCTTAAATACGTAGTTGCTTAGTTGTAGGTAGTTTGTAGTGCGTAACATCGCATATGTATTTAATCCTGTATGTTTTATATTAAATTTGTTGTTGTCTTTTAACCCTTTCTACCTGTCTGATTCGCGGGAAGGACACCTATCGACTTACTCACACCTCCCCACTCGATTTAAAAAGCCCTGCTAGCCATCCCCCGACAAGAAGCCGGTAAGAAGGGTTGAGCTCGCTGCTCTACACACCCTCTAGGCTCTCACATTTGATTGACGTAGTGGATAATTTTAATCAGAGTAAGTCCAGAAAATTCAATAAATTATTATTACAGAGGGAATAGTAAATATTCTAGAAACCAAAAACACATTGATGGTATTTATAGTATCGACTCATGCCATCATCACGAACGAATTTTACTGCTTACATCAAGAACTGCTGACGGTGTCTTTAAACACATTAAGATTAAGATAGATTAACGGTTTTTTAATTGGTCTTTCTCCTTCTCGTGCACTCAATCGCTTTCTTTCAATTGTTTCTGCAAACTTCCGTGTATTTTCTATCTTGTGTTGTTCTTTCCATCACATCGATGATTTGTGCAGAGCTATAATGTTTTTCGTCGTGGATACATTAAGCTTCTAAATTCAATATATTGGCCAACATATCTAAATATTACATAGATTTTCTGAAAGTATTTTTCAAATTGCTTGTTCTATGAATAAGTCCAGGTAATGTCGATTTTTTTCTCGTAATACATGATATTACGAGAAAAGACCTGACAATGATACCAGATAGCAGATGTGATGAGGAGACAATTAAGGTATCACCCTTCCACTTTGGCAATCAGAAATTCATGACGATAAACATCTACGGGTATTTTTCAGAGAATGATCTGATTCAGATATTTCAGACATTATATTTAACATCCCTGGAAATTGCACTGTCAACCAAAGCAAACTCATTATAGACCTCATTAAAACGACCATTTTATTTCTCACAATGCAGAAAGAAAATATGTATTTTTATACTCATTCTGTTTGCTTAAATACATGTTAAAGTTTCGACCAAATTAAACTTCAACATTTTCAACAATACAGTAGAGCGTCGATTTTCCGAAAGTCAATCATCCGAAACGTCAATCATCTGAAAGAATTCCAGTCGGCAAATTTAAATTTTCGCCAGTGCTGTGGCGCTTCAATCTTTGGCTACCTCTTGGGCTACTCAAATATTTTACGTTTTTGATATTAAATTAACATCTGAAGGATAATTGTTTATTGTTTTTATATTTTTAAATATATTTATTTTGTTTGTACAAAATAAAAACATAGTTTTTAACGATACAATAGTCTTTGTTAGGCTTAACATCGACGAAAATTCAACGCGAAGCGACACGGAACGGATAAAAATTTTAACATCGGATACGTTGAACTATTTTTTCGTATATAAATCGGTTATCCGAAATATCAGTTATACGAACAACCCCAGTCCCCAATTGATTCGGGAAATCGACGCTCTACTGTATTCACAAATAACCTATAAAAAACAAAACCTTAATGGTAAGGAATATAACCAATAGCACGTTCATTACATTTAAATTTAATAGTACCGGTCATTTATTTTATTTACTACATGTCTTTCTATTAGATTAGAGTCTAACCCACACCGCACTGTATAAACATTACGTAACGCGTCAACGAATGTACTTGCACGATTAATAAAAAGAAGTAATGCGATAAGCAGTAGAACTGAACGCGACTACACGTGGTTATATAACTGCAATGTGGTAGAGAAACGTGATTTATTAAGCAGTATACAAAAAATTAGTAAGTTAAAGTTGCCTGAATATGACTGACTTAACGTATTTAAAGGTAAAAGAGAAACTAAAATGGCCTAACAACAATAATTGAAACAGATATTCATATAAATATAACCGTGTGTAAACAAAACATCGACATAACAGTAGTTAGTGTTATTATTTTGAAAATGACGAAAGTTATCACTTGTGAGAATCTTCAGATTACGTCTTTTTCCCTGTTCTAAGTAAGGCCAGCAAAACTCAATGTCTAATTAATGTCTGTTGTACTATTGAAATTAAACACATCAACATCTTAAAACTTATAAACAGCACACTTATTATAAATTCAGTTCAGATTTTAATTAACAGCAGTTTGTATATTGTTGATTAAAAAAAAACACAATGCCTACTTCTTTTGAAAATCAAGAAAATTCTAATGTGTGAAAACCGCGAATTCGCAAAACCCAATCCTCTTCCAGTGCTTCTGACAGCAATGGTGTTTTATCCATTCTCGTATCAGTTCTACCTGTTTTGAAATTGTTTTCTAAATGTCTACGAGAAATGCTAAACCTGCTATGTTTCTCTGCTAACCATTTCCTCGTTTTCTACCAGAATCTACACATTGGCAATACATTCAGGAGTTCAGTTCATTCCTCTGTCTGCTATAAAAAGCATAGACAACTCAGTAAAATCAAATTCAGTATGACAGTTTTTCAAATTATGTGTTGTTCCTAGTAAATCATCACATTATTTCGTTGAATATTACTAAGCGCACTGTATAACCATATCAACGATAATATATTTTGGCTTTAACAAATATGGCATGTTTTATATTTCTTATTCATATTAACAAATATAAACGCTCTATTGTTTATCATTCATTCACGTCATATAGTTACCGAAATTCAGTTTTCGGAGCAAAGTTTAATTATTATATTTCTTTTCTTTTATTGCTAAATCTAGTATACATTATCGTGCTTTTTAGTGAGATTTTTCAGTATATCTCTATTTTATATGTTAGTAGTTATTATATACTGTATATATATATTACATTGTACAGTAGATAAGTAAATTGACCGATTTTGCAATGCTGTGTAAGGTTGTGTATTAATCAAGATAAAAGCATGTATAATCTAGTTTTACTGTTTCATAATTTTTAATATAAAGGCAATAATGTTAAGTCGTGTAATAACACCGANACTATTTGAGGAATACCAGACTTATCAGAAACAAATTAATGCTATATGGTAAAGAAATGCATTTAAAAGAAGCTAAGTTTGTTAAATTATGATATAACAGATTATTCATAGATAAGATATTTGCATGTAATTACAATGGTGAAATCTTCCAAACAGATGGAGAACAATGTTTTTTTAGGAATATAGTTTATAATGACAAACAACATAACCTTAATGACAAAGATGATAACATGAAACTTCTTTTCTACAATATTGCAGGTTTACATAATAAATACTGCTTCCCTAACTTCTGGAACTTGATATATAATATGGATATATTCTGTCTGGTGGAAACATGGCATACATCTTTGACAATTGAGTCAATTTTTTCTGATGACTATAAAATTTATCATCAAATAGCTCATAGTTGTGAGGGGCCTGGAAGACCTGGTGGAGGCTTAATTGTCGGACTCAGATCAGATGTAATTTCTAAGGTTAAACTGATATTTCAGACATAGCTTATACTGATTTTACAACTAGACACTGAGGAGTTAACTAATATATAGCTAATAGTGTTCTATATCCCGTCCGACAGTAATTATGATTATTTCAAAAATACTTTGTTGATTATAGAAGATTACGTTCTACATGGAACTAAGTTGATTTTGTGTGTAGATTTTAATGCTAGAATGAGACATCCTGATCATTTGTCATGTTTTAACAGTGACAAATGAACAGGCAAATTGTTCTGAGTTTCAAAGGATTCTACATTTAATAACAGAGGGAAATTTTTCTATCATTTTTGTGAAGCTAATAGTCTTATTTGTCTAAATACTTTATTGCCAGGAGATAAAGAAGGTAATTTTACTTTCCGTGCAATCAATGGAGCCAGTGTAATTGATTTCATAATAGTGTCACAAGAAATATACTCTCATGTTGTAAATTATTTCTGTCTTATCGGAGATAGGCTCAGACCACTCACCTGTTCTTGTAATAACCTTGCTGATTTCATCCAGAATTCCTAATAGTCAATTCTTTGGTAAGCATGCAATATGGAGAGATGAATCTAAATCTTCATTTACTGTTACATTAGATATTAGCAAGGTTAGGCCGAAGTTTTAAACGCAAACATTCAGTGTCGCTTTCCTGTAAGCCTAGAAGTTTGACAGTGGCGTTTGGAATGTCAAGCATGATTCCACTGACTACATTACATTTAGTGGAGCACTCCCTCTGACCTGTAGCATTAAATTCTACTGGCTTGAGGTACTCCTCTTTTAATTAACCCTGCTTCGCAGGTTCCACTGACTATCCAAACACCATTGTCAAACTTCTAGGCTTATAGGAAAGTGGCACTGAACGTCTGACGTACACGTTTTCGTGTTTAAAACTTCGGCCTCAACCTCGCTAATGTTTATCACAAGAATATGGAGGAAATCCTATGATATCAATATCTGCCAGACTGCCTGTTAAACACATGANAAAAATATTTTATACCTGAACAGGCGATTCCTTTGACAAGACGAAGCAGTCACCGCAGCTGAATCCAATTTTATTTTCTTGAAATTTCTTCATAAAATCCAATACCTATTCAATATCAATCACAAACATTATCGCGTGTCAAGTGATATTAATTATTTAACACTCTATACCTTAAGCTTGTCAGCCAAAGAATGAGATGTTCCGGCAAATCTTCTGATCTCTTGAAAGGAATCATAAGCCTGTAAAATGTTAGAAATTGTTATAATAGAACCATTCACAAAACTAATAATATAATCACTATTTTCAATTACCGAGGCCGAGAGTCGAGAAGCCGCAAAAGCGCAGACAATCACTACAATAGTGAGAAGTATTGTAGCAAAACATATCAAAATTTGTAGATACCAAACGAATTCTCCAAAAACTGAACTGTAGATAAGAAAAGATAGAAGATATAGAGCAATCCCGTAAATAAAAAATAAATATCTGTTCCACTTTTCGTTGACATTTAAGATGAATTCGCAAAGCTCGAAATGTTTGGAAATCAAATCATCTATATTCTTTTTCTGCCATTGCATTTTTGCTCGTTGTAATTCGACAGACAAAGCATTGAATCTCTGCAAAATGATTATGCTACATAATATGCAGGTTGATACAAACCACATCCATAGCGTTGCTTCATACATTGAACTGATTTGCGTTACGATAGAACAGGCGAAAGCTCTGAAACTGCTTGCTTTCATTTCTACTTTCTTGAAAATGACAACGGAACTAATGAAAGTAACCAAAGATAGGACAAAGGCATAAGATATGACAACAAAAAAATGCGTGATACGTTGATAAAGGCGAATTTTCTCTTTTTCTCCTTCATATCCCGACATCTCCATTGTAAAAGTGAATTTTTGTTTTCTGCCATTTTGAATTATAAGAAAGGAACTTAATGATATACAGCCAAATACTCCAAGCAAGAAAGGAGCATTATGTTCTCCACCTGTGTTGACAGTCGGGCTGCAGGCTATAATGTTGTCTTCCGTTCCGAAATATTGAATTATAAGTCTAATAAAATGCCCGATTATCATCAGCTGCACGAAATTGGCATGAATAGTTACGAGTTTCTTTTGTCTGGATGTAAGTTGATGGCATAAGCATCTTTCAAAGATAATATCGCCAAAAGGGAGTGATAAGGAAAATGTCTGATGAAGAAGACAATACAGGCAACTGTCGTCCATTTTCTGGCAGCAAAATGGACATAGAAATCAATATTGAACTGTTTAATCGCATTTTAAATATCTTTGTAATTTAAAATGAAATTCGGAAGACTTCGTGTTTCGTTGAATTCAAATGAGTTTACGTGTCTCTAAAGCATTGCATTCTTCACATTACTGGCAATATCTATTGAAATTTATCGCTTATAATTTCATATTATAACTAACTATTAAACATTCCATAATGTATATTTTACCGAATTTATGTCGAGAAACCAACATTGCTACGACAAAAATGTTATTATTCACATTACAAACTGACTCAGTCACAGAAATAAATGTTTCATATTTAATATATATTTCAAATTTGTGCAATATCTTGTGCAGACTTTACAAAATTATGATATAACACGTTATGGTATTGGTAAATTCGAAATAACGCGGAATTTTATACACTAAAAATTTCGATTTAAAAGAATTCCACATTAAGTTCGAATGTACTAAAGAATTCTTGACCAAGTTTGGTAGGAATAATATGTAAATCTTCAGGGAAACTTTTCGATGTCATACGTTCGAATTCCGGAGAGTTTGAATTCCAAAGCAATTTCTTCGGCAAGGAATAATGTTAACTAAATTAATCGATTTCCAAATTTTTAAGTATTCACTTTAATTATAGAAATTAATAATTTAAGCTAAAATAGTATAAATAAATGGCTTAATTAATGCGTATCGTGATTAAAATAATAGTATTCAACGATTAAAAACAGAAAAGTAAATGTAAATAAAGCAAATAAAAATGGAGTAGATGCGTCGTGAGAGGTTGTGCTCCATCAATACGTGGCCAAATCTTGTGTCAACGAAAATATTTAAAAAGAAAAACATACTTTAATTGTTTGTAGCCCAAAATAAGAATCAGCCCAATCTGGCTATAGTGCCACTTTTGAATACTTAAACCGTCAAGCTAGAATATACTATTAATACATAGTGTGGCTGAAGCAACAGCATATTTGGGGAAAATACATAGCTGCCACTTTTTTTTAGTCAAATGGACGTTGCATTTGACTAAAAAAAGTAAACTGTTTGATAGGACCTGTTGTTGCAACCAAGAGCGCTACAAGTATACTCTCTGCCACACTATTTAGTATATTTTAGCTCGTTGACCCTAACAGATGTCATACATTGTATGGTATGGCTGTGTTTCTTTGTGTTTGAGTTCCAAAAACATTTTCTCGAAATATCGTTCAAATCCAAGTTATTTGACTTCTAGGGCATTCGAGTTACGAAGTACCACTGAACTTTAGAATACAACTGCTAGAAAAAAGCATTTTTGCTTATCGCAACATTTTGAGACTCCTAAAACTAAAAGAACTCAAAAAAAAACAAAAGGGGAAAATTCATAGGTTTGTATGTGTTTGTGAGTGTAAACGTTTTCGTTAAATATCATAGAATAGAGTAAAGATTTAAAAGCGAAATTTGGAATGATAACGTGAGAAATAGTGGCCCAAGGGTTAATCTTTCTCGACCACTTACTCGGCAACAGTCTGCAAATACCGCTCACGTTGTCGTTCCGGATGGCTTTTTATCGAGTGGCGAAAGATGTGAGAAAGTTGGTAATCGTCCTCTTTGAGACAGGAGACAGATTTAACAAAATAGCGAATTTATTATACGGCTAACACTAAAATAGAAAAGGCTACACAGAGTTAAATGCCTATCTCTGGGTTATATAGGCTAAATGCGGTTAACATGAGATTATAAGTCTACTAGCTTATTCGTCGCGCATTGCTGCGATCTCAGAAGAAAGGAAATTCAAGCAAACTCGTTATGATAAAATTCAATTTACATTTTATTTTTATTGAAACTTATTATTATTATTATTCATTTTCATCGGGAAAACATTTCAAAGTGTCGTTTCAATTCTATTTATTTATTAGAGTGCTTGTGGATACACGATATTTTTTGTTTTTCCGTCTGGTGCGTACACGAATAAATCGGAAGGTTTTTCGACGCGTGAGCCGGCCACATAACTTACAGTTGTCCATGCGAGAAGCATGGATTCTCCAAATTTAGCCCACACACTCGCTGCGATTGTCAGACGTGCGATATTCCCCATTTTTATATATTTTTTTTAATCCTTCATAATTTTGATTATTTAATTGCTCCTTACTCTTTTCCTTGGCACATTGTGAAATTTCTGATAGTTGGATAATAAACCGTTTTATTGTAATTTGTCTTTTTAAGTTATCACATAATATTAAAATTTGGAAAAGGGGATCCCTAGATCGGTAAAATAGGCGAATTTCCTTCTACAACTTCGGTTGTTGTTCGGGGTACAGTTAAAGTTTTAACAAAGTTCGAGCGAATACGTAATTAGCAAAAAAAAAGTTGAAATAAAGTGATTAAACAAAAATTATTACAAATATCGTAAATAACAGTCCACAAATGCATATATAGAAATATTTTTTGAAGGGGGAAATGGTTTTCACAATTTGAAATCGATCGAACACACTGTGCTCGAATGCTCCTGTAAACGCGCGCCATCTATCGTAGGATAAATGTACTATGCCAAAAACCTTCGCGGGAGTGTATTAAAAAACTTTCCGAAGTTTTATGGCAATCGTACTATGCCACAAACCTTCGCCGGAGTATATTAAACAACTTCCCAAAGTTTCACGGCAATCGGATAAACGGTGTGGTAATGCATGAAGGACAGACAGCCACACACACACACACACATACATACATTCATTTTTATATATATAGATTATGGACAACTACTTGGTCTATTCTATGACAGCTATGTCTACTTCAGTTACGAGAGAGAGTTCGCAGTCCGCTGATAATTAGCTCTAAAGTTGGAGCAGTCCTATATGCGGTGATGATAGTTCTTTATGGAAGCGTTGGGCGTTGTCGATGTCTTCTAACGTGCGGAAGACGGGGAATCACTATGACCACATATAACTTCCGTGTGCGTACTCATGAGCTTCTGGTGGCTCGCGCCTTTTATATCATTGTCGTGGGAAATCTAACACGTGATCGACTTTTGTTGACGATGACAGAGCATTCTTGACACCTATGTGTAAACTTTCCCACTGACTTGTTATTACAACCGGTGACCTCTGATCTAATTTCTATCTCTCCGTTTTTTTTTCTAACGAAGATGTTTACATTTTAACAATTGACATTAATTTTCGATTTTAAGAGCCCCGTAAAAATCCGCGGGCTTACAATAATATGTGTTAGTGGAATTAATGCTATTCAACTAGTTAAAAGTTCGAAGAGTGAAGAGATAGAGTGGCCATGTATAATACCTCAATTGCAAACGAGGGACTTAATTAATGAAAATTTTTTCCGATATTACTAATTTCAAGTGAAAATTATTTATTGTTTTTTAAAACACGTGCATTTCTTCAAAATTAAGCATTTTTACCTTTTTATAATTGCACTGTATCTTAATGTTTTTTAAATTGAAATATTCATTTAATTAGAAAAAAACGTTATAACTCAATATAATTACTGCTGTTAAATTTCTCAACCTAGAATAATTTAAATTTATTGGACTTCCTAAAGCTATCTTCATACTTTTTTTAGACCCGAGAAAATCTAGTAACCGATAATAAAATTAAAAATTGAAATACTGTACAGTAGACCCCCGTATAACGCTTAGATACGTTCCACGTTATTCGAATTTTACGTTGTAGGAATCATTAAATACATGTGTGAAGACACGTATTCAATGTGAACGTTACCCGACACGTGTGAAGTTTACGGACTACGGCTGTTTGAAAGGTTTTTTTCTATAAAATTAACCGATTCTAGACTAACTCCACTCAACATTTCCAAAACACGTAAAATTTTTTGGGAATAATCCGTATAAACTATGCTATAAACAAAAAATGGTAGGATTACTTACCGAGTGTGCACCGTTCGACTACTTCGTTACTCAAGCTTGTTTTCGTCGCGGAACAGCGCACGAAACAGCGGCCGCGATTTCTGATAACGAATTTTTCGCAGAAAAATAACTTGACCTTTGGAGACATCATTAATATAAATAATTTTTATGGCCGTTGAATAAGAAATGTTTCTTTCACAAGAAAGGTATAAAATTACAGTACTGTATTAGACTTACGATACCTAATTTACATACTGTACAGACGATAATAAACTCAACTTACTAGCCTAATCTCTCTGTAGCGTAGCGCTAGACGGCAGAAATTATATATATAATTATAATAAAGTTACAATAANTAAAAAAAACTATTAAAACTGCCCGCCATCTAGCGGGATGGACGGGTCATCCTCCCACCTTTGATTTTGTTAGGCAAAATCAAATCAAACTTAAATTCAAACTCAACAAAACACAAAGTACAAATTGAAGGAGTTCGAATCAGTTTATAGATTTAACCGATTGGGAGTCTTTAGGGGTCTGCCCCTTTTGGAGACTCGATACTTCTCAGATGAGTTTGTCACATCACTTCCTGCAGTCCTGTCACGAAATTCTTCTTGCATATCTTTCTTCTCATCCCCCGAAGAAATCTCCAATAGGTACAATTTCCTAACAGGACGGATAAGAAATCCAACCTGTGTTTTTAATTTTACCACTCTCACCAATCCATCTTTACCTGGATAGATCTCGACAACTCTCGCCAGAGGCCAATCAAGTCGTTTTTGATTGTCATGTCCAACCAAGACGATATCTCCCACAGCAATCATTTTAGTGCCCTTGGCTAACCCCCTCGGGTTTTGCAATTGCGCCAGGTACTCAATTCGAAATCTATTTCGTAAATCTTTTCTCAATTTGCATAAATAACGGAATCTCTTCCCAAGATTGACCTTTTCCATATGGTCTAAATCGGGAAGTCCAGTTTCCTTTATTCCTTGCAGAAACATATTAGGAGTCAACGGAATCAAATCTTCAGTATCTTCCGAGAGAGTAGTAAGTGGTCGAGAGTTCATCAAACCCTCTACCTCACAGATAATTGTGTAGAGTTCTTCGTAAGTTAACGAAGCTCGTCCCAAAATTCTCCTAATAATCTGCTTTACACATCCTACCAACCTTTCCCACCAGCCACCCCACCAGGGCGAAGCTGGAGGAATGAACTTCCAGGTAATGTCCTGAACAAGAATTTCATCTTTAATCTTTGTAAGTTCAGCTTCAGAGAAAATTTTGGCGGCACCGACAAAATTTGTACCGTTATCACTATAAATAACAGAAGGGCGTCCTCTTCTTGACACAAATCGTCTGAATGTTTGCAGGAACGCCTTCGTTGACAGAGACGTCAACAACTCGAGATGCACAGCCCTGTACACTGCACAGGTATACAGAACAATCCAACACTTCTGCTTATCCCTCAAGTACAGTGGACCAGCTAGATCAACGCCAATAACCTCGAATGGCGCAGCATCTCTTATGCGATCCACAGGCAATGGCGGAGATTCAGGGTGGGCTGGAGACACAGCAAATCTTCGACATCTAGAGCATCGGAGTGTGATAAGCCGGATATATTTTCTGCATCTTAGTATCCAGTATTTCTCGCGCAGACGATTCATTAAAATTTGAACACCAGCGTGGTTTAATTCTCTGTGTTTCCACTCTATTAGTTTTTGTACAATATAGTGATTCCCAGGCAAGATAATGGGTAAACGGAAATCTTCACTATCTTTACTTCTGAATACGAGAGTCTTTACTCTCAAAAGACCTTCCTTGTCCATCACCGGGTGTAATTTTCGCAAACGATTATTTATTCCGTTAGGAAATTCTTCTCTTTGAATCAGTTTCAATAACACTAATTCAGCATGCCTTATTTCCTTTACTGTAAGCCCTCCAGACATTCTAACAGTTTTTCCCTTGAGATTTAAGACAAACCGGTATATCCAAGCCGTTATTCGTAATATTTTCCAGTAAGTGGAATAATTCTCATAAAACCTTTCTGCTTTCTCTACATCCAGCGCAGAAATCACAGATTTTTTCCTTTCAGAGCTCACTATCTCCATGTCCGGCATTTCTTGCTGCCGAGGCCATTCTTCTACCGGCAAGCTTGGAAATTGAAGTGTCTCCCACCATTGCGATTCGGCCAAAATTCTTGCATTACAACCCCGTGATGGGAGGTCTGCGGGGTTTAAATGCCCTGGTACATGATTCCAGTCATCTGGACTACTTAAAGATCTAATTTCATTTACTCTATTCATAACAAACGTAGCCCAACATTCCTGATTCTTGATCCAATATAAAACATTCATGGAATCAGTCCAATAAAGAGTTGAGATTCGTTCAAGTGGAAAGTCCCCTTTAATAGAGTTCATCATTCTGACACCTAATAAACAGGCTAAAAGTTCAAGCCTAGAAATCGATATGGACTTCAGAGGAGCAACACGAGTACGAGCCTGGATCAACCGCCATTTTACGTTGCAAGCATCTTGCTGTCTGAGATAGATACAAGCGGCATAAGAGTACTGTGACGCATCACAAAATACATGAAATGAAAATTGGACAGCTGCTCTATAGTCATTTACTATCCTTCTAGGAATTTTCACCTCTTTCAAAAATTTTAATTCTTTTATCCACCTTAACAATCTTCTTTCTAAGTCGTGCGGTAATGGAGTGTCCCAAGCTAACTTTCTTTTCCAACACTCTTGCATCAGAAGTTTTGGAATTAACGTCACTGGAGAAAGGAATCCAATTGGATCAAAAAGTTGACTCGCTAATGACAGAACCACTCTTTTTGTTAAAATTTCATCGTTAGGTACTCTAAAGTTTGCATTACAGTATAAAACGTCCTCTGAAATATCCCAATTCAATCCTAGCACACTGACTATTTCATCGTGCTGGATTTCCAAAGTTCTCAATGTCCTTTCGTCGCCGTCGCAAACCGGTGACGTCTCTGTTTGTATACCATTGTATACCCAACCTCTTAAATCAAAGCATGCTAAACGCATGATTTCTCTAGACTGCCTTATAAAATCCATCAGCTCCTCCTTGGACTGACAACTCGTAACGCAATTATCAACGTACATTGATTTCTTAAGTTTTAAAGCTGTTTCTTGCAGATGATGTGGAACATGGCTTAAGTGATAATTTAGAGTGGCTCCCAGGAGAAAAGGACTCGAGTTTACTCCAAATACTACCCTGCGATGTCTGAAAACTTTCAATTTCGCAGGGTCGCCACCCTCCCACCACAAAAATCTGAGAAAGTCGCGATCCGCTTCACTTATCTCTATCTGCAAAAAAGCCTTTCGAATGTCAGCTATTACTCCGTATTCAAATAATCGAAATTTATTCAGGATACTAGGTATTAGTTCAATGTAGTTAGGACCTTTTGCTAAACAATCATTTAAGGAGACGTTGCCCCTTTCTTTAGCGGAGGCGTCGAAGACTGGACGAATCTTCGTCGTGGAATGCTCTTTGATGACAGCTCTATGTGGAAGGTAATGACAGTTGGTCTCCTTCACTTTAACGTTTTTCACTTCTTCTATTATTTGATCTTCAAGCCATTGCTCGAAGACTCCCTCATAGGCATCAACCAGGCCCTTCTTTTGTAAAGTCTTCACTGCTGATCTTAATCTTCGCTCGGCTAGAACCTTATTATTTGGTAGAGCTTGGCGACCTTCTATCCAAGGCAAGGATACCATATACCGACCATCACTGTCTCTCTTCAGTGTCTTTTCAAAATGTTCGATAGATGCTTGTTCCAGTTCCTCCTTTGATTGTTTTTCGGCAGGGTCCTTTATTCCAAGAATATCTAATTCCCAAAGATCAGGAATTCGCAAATCTCCAATTAACATCGAAGTGACAATCAAGTCTTCAGTTGGTACGGAATGCTCCTTTGCACGTCCTAAGATCGTCCAACCCAGCTTCGTTTCAATAGCAGTTAATCCCGATTTGAGTCTCTGGATTCCTCCCGTCATCAGTTTGCCAGCAACATCTGCCCCTATGAGCAGTTCGATGGGACCTTGACAATCATTCAAGGATATCCCCATATTTGATAACTCGTCCTGACACAGGTCCTGGGAAACTGGGGGCATGGTTAAACAAATGGTCGATTGGTCTAATACATCGAAATTACAACGATATTTATCGTCTATGCACGAGAGGTGTACCTTGTACACATCGTGTTCGCAAATATCCGTACAAGAACCTCCAAACAACGAATGTTTCAGATTTTCCTTTCTCATTGGTTGGTAACCGACTCTTTCCGCAGTGCTCTTCAAGATATAGGACCTCTGAGAGGCAGTATCAATAATTGCACGGATTTTGAGACACCTTTCCTCTCCCCTCAGAATCACAACCAAAGTCTGTAGCAAAACACGTGGAGTTGATGACACATTAGCCAATGCCTGCTCACATACTGTGGAGGCGCCGTCACCTTCACCAACAGAAGTGTTGTTGGGAGATACCTTTCGGTTATTCCTACAGAGAAGAACGTGATGCGGTTTGCCACAAACTGTACAACTGCACTTTGCCCTACATGAAGAAGATATGTGATTCAGTTTTAAGCATTTAAAACAAGCTCCTCGCTTTATAAGGATTTGTTTCCTTTGATCTAAAGTCAAATTTTCCGCCTTCCTGCACTCAGCACTAGCATGAGATTTCTCACAGAATACACACTGCTGATCCCTAAATGGTTTCTCTTGAGCAGAAGTCAAAAGTTCCATTCCAGTTGGCACAGTCTTGTTATAGGAAGAGGTAGCCTTAATTTTACCTTGTACAACCTTCTTGGTTTTGTTTTGAAAGCCAAACCCACTTGTGGCTAAGGAAATTTTCTCCTCACTTTCAATTTCGTTACGCAAAAACTGCATCAGAGTTTCTAATTTGTTGAAATTCTCTTTTCCAGACTTGAGTAGCATCGAATTTAGGTGTCTTTCCCAAATTCTCAGGAGATCAGTCGGTAAGCTAGATTCAACTAAAGGATAAAGCATTGAAGCACACTTATCCGTAGTAACACCAAGCATTTTAAGGGATCGCAGTTGTGTCTCGATACGATCATAAAGTTTCACAATTGGCAATTTGTGCTCTTGCACTAACGCATTATTTAGCACTAGACTCAGGAGTTCTCTCACGTAAACCTCGATGAGCACATCTTCTCTTCCGAAACGCGAATTTAAACACTCAATTGCTTGAGGGTAATGCTCGGCTGTTACGGGGAACGATTCGATTACTTCCCTGGCCCTTGAGCCCTTCAGAGTCGACTGAATAAGATATTGAAATTTATCCAAATCCGAAATATTGGGATCTTCATGTATTTTCTTAAATAGTCCCCAAAAGGAAAGATAATTTTTCAAATTGCCATCAAATTTTTGCAATTCAATCTTTGGTAGCTTAAAATTTCCCTTAGAACAGCCGGCTTCGCTTTCACTTCGTGTTTCATCTAGCTCCTTCGACGTATTCAAACGGCGCTCTAGTCTTGTTTTCAAGTCTACGAATGTACCATTGTAATTCTCAATACCCTCAATTTCCTCATCCAACATCTGTTGAGAACACTTCTCATCCTTTTGTAACTTATCTAATATTTCTTTGTCGATGGTTTCTATTTTAGAATATTTTTCTTTCAACTGGGCCAAAAACCCAGCACACAAATCGAAATCCTCAACCTTCGACGTCAAAAAATCCTGTACCTTGGTAACGAACTTTGTGAAAGCGCCTCGGTAGGATCCACGTAGTCTGATCGAGGGCTCCATTACGTAAATCTTACTAATTAATCCAAATAACAAACGTAGACAAGGATAGACATAGAGAGAACCTCGATCTAAGTTCAAATGGAAAAAATCTGAGATGTATTTCCACCAAATCTTTCAATTATCACTCACTTTCCACATTAAGTGAGTGTTTCCAAATGTAAACAATGTCAGAGAACAATCGGAGAATATTTATCTATACAATAGCTTCGGGTAACCTGAGTCCCTATTCGGGCGCCATTATGTCGCGTCAGGCCGATTC